AGTAGGTAGCTTGGGTCGGTCCTTTGTTTAGTACAGCTTGCGCCTGATTGGCCTTGTTTCAAATACTAACACCCAGCATTTAACCAGCACACCAGCCACTACACCTTGACCATGCGGACAACAAATTTCTGCTGTGTGTAGTATTTTCATCTGAGACCGTCCAAATAGGTTAGTAATGTTTCTATACATATTGTTATAATGTACTTGCATCTATTTGTGTAATCAGCTGTAGTGTTACTCAGTCTTAATACATATTTAGATAGGTCATTACATATAGTCATATAATTGCAGCCATGTAAATGTTTTTAACTAGGTTAGCACTGTATATCTTCACCTTTCCTAAATGTTTCATTTGAGAATGAATGAGCGAGTGGGTATGTATTTATGATGTATGTGTTTGCTTATGACAATGTTATTTATGTATAATGTAAAGCATTCATTGGTATGTTATGTGTAACACATAACTCATGTTTTCTAAGGTTACCCGTTTTACCTAAGTAAGTATATTTGTCTTTGTATTTGTATTTAGATGTAGGCACCATAAGTCCTGTCAGTTGCGTTGGTGAATGCAGTTCCCGCCCCAGTTTCACCTACAGGGTATGCTTGTATTTTCTTGTGTATAAATGAAATTAATTAATTGTATTTATCATATTATTACACATGTATAGGGATACAAATGTATATATAGTTATTGTAAGTTATAACACATCCTTCAATGTATTTGTTGAAAGCAAGAGTTCTATCTATTTCTATGATGTCGTCGGTGTGACAATGTGAATGAATATAATGTGATGTGCTCTTATATATCTGTGTTTGTGTATATTAACATACATATATATTTACGTGTATATATATCTTTACATTTAATATGTTTCTGGGCGATTGTTTGTTCTGATAATAAATCCTCACGACAATTAACGACCTGTGTTATTCATGAACACCCCCGGTTTCATACACATGTCGATAGACCTAATGTATCAAAGGTCGATTGAGATGATGCATCACACTTTGATTTACCTGATGAATCATATGTTGGATGACCTGATGTATCACATGTCGAATGACTTGATGTATCACATGTTGATTGACCTGATGCATCACATGTCGATGTATCTGATGTAAGGTATGTTGACTGGATTGATGTATCAAAGGCCAATTGACCTGATATATCCAAGGCCGATTGGCCTAATGTATCATATTTCGATTGACCTGTTGTATCACATGTTGACTGAACCGATGTATCAAAGTTTGATTCAACTGATGTATCAGGTATCGATTGACCTGATCTATTGTATGTAGATTTACCTGATGCATCACATGTCGATTTATGTTGTGTATCACATATCGATTGAACTGATAAATAATATGTCGATTAACCTGCTGTATCACATGTCGATTTACCTGATGCATCAAATGTCGATTGACCTGACGCATTACACGTCGATTAACCCGATGCATCACATGTCGATTTACCTGATGCATCACATGTCAATTTACCTGATGTATCACATGTCGATTGCCCTAAAGCATCATATGTCGATTGACCAGACACATTATAAATCGATTGACCGGATGCATCAAATGTAGATTGATCTGATTTATCAAAAGCCGATTTGCCTGATGCACCACATGGCAATTGACCTGATGTATCACATGTGGATTAACCTGATGTATGAAATGCCAATTTACCTAATGTATCACATATCGATTGACCTAATGCATCGAATGTCGATTGACCTGATAAATCACATGTTGGTTTATCTGATGTATCGCATGTTTATTGAGCTCAAATGCCGATTTACCTAATGCATCCTATGTCGATTTACCTGACGTATCACATGTCGATTGCCCTAATGCATCATATGTCGATTGACCAGACGCATTACAAATCGATTGACCGGATGCATCAAATGTAGATTGATCTGATGTATCAAAGGCCGATTTGCCTGATGCACCACATGGCAATTGACCTGATGTATCACATGTCGATTAACCTGATGTATGAAATGCCGATTTACCTAATGTATCACATATCGATTGACCTGATGCATCGAATGTCGATTGACCTGATAAATCACATGTTGGTTTATCTGATGAACGGCATGTTTATTGAGCTCAAATGCCGATTTACCTGATGCATCACATGTCGATTTACCTGATGTATGACATGTCTATTGACCTGATGTATCCAAGTCCGATTTTCCTACAGTATCATATGTTAATTTACCTGATGTATTACATATCGATTGACTGGAAGTATCAAATGTCGATTGACTTGATAAATCACATGTCGATTTACCTGATGTTTCTTATGTCGATTTACCTGATGTATCAAATGTCAATTGACCTGATGTATCAAAGGTCGATTGGGATGATTGAAACCATGGCGTTTTACCTAATGTATCATATGTCCATTGACCTGATGTATCACATGTTGACTTACCTGATATAGCACATGTCCATTGACCTGACGCATCACCTGTCGACTGACTTGATGCATCAAAGGTCGTTTTACCTCATGTATCACATGTTGGATGACCTGATAAATGGATTTACCTAATGTTCACATGTCGATAGACCTGATGTATCAAAAGTCGAATGACCTGATGCATCACATGTCGAATGACCTGATGTATTACATGTCGAATGACCTGATGTATCACAGGTCAAATGACTTGATGTATCACATATCGATTGACCTGATGTATCACAGGTCGAATAACTTGATGTATCACATGTCGATTGACCTGGTGTATCACATGTCGATTAACTTGGTGTATCACATGTCGATTGACCTGATGTATCACATGTCGATTGACCTTGTGTATCACATGTCGATTAACTTGGTGTATCACATGTCGATTGACCTGATTATCACATGTCGATTAACCTGATGTTTCACATGTCGATTGACCTGATGTTTCACATGTCAATTGACCTGATGTATCACATGTCGATTGACCGGATGTATCACATGTCGATTGACCTGGTGTATCACATGTCGATTAACGTGGTGTATCACATGTCGATTGACCTGATTATCACATGTCGATTGACCTGATTATCACATGTCGATTAACCTGATGTTTCACATGTCGATTAACTTGGTGTATAACATGTCGATTGACCTGATTATCACATGTCGATTAACCTGATGTTTCACATGTCGATTAACTTGGTGTATCACATGTCGATTTACCTGATTATCACATGTCGATTTACCTGATTATCACATGTCGATTAACCTGATGTTTCACATGTCAATTGACCTGATGTTTCACATGTCAATTGACCTGTTGTATGACATGTCGATTGACCGGATGTATCACATGTCGATTGACCTGGTGTATCACATGTCGATTAACTTGGTGTATCACATGTCGATTGACCTGATTATCACATGTCGATTAACCTGATTATCACATGTTGATTAACCTGATGTTTCACATGTCGATTAACTTGGTGTATAACATGTCTATTAACTTGGTGTATAACATGTCGATTGACCTGATTATCACATGTCGATTAACCTGATGTTTCACATGTCGATTAACTTGGTGTATGAAAAAGTCGATTGACCTGATTATCACATGTCGATTAACCTGATGTTTCACATGTCAATTTATGTGATTATCACATGTCGATTAACCTGATGTTTCACATGTTGATTAACTTGGTGTATCACATGTCCATTGACCTGGTGTATCACATGTCGATTAACTTGGTGTATCACATGTTGATTGACCTGATTATCACATGTCGATTGACTTGATTATCACATGTCGATTAACCTGATGTTTCACATGTCAATTGACCTGATTATCACATGTTGATTAACCTGATGTTTCACATGTCGATTGACCTGATTATCACATGTCGATTAACCTGATTATCACATTTCGATTAACTTGGTGTATCACATGTCGATTAACTTGGTGTATCACATGTCGATTAACCTGATTATCACATGTCGATTAACCTGATTATCACATGTCCATTAACCTGATTACCACATGTCGATTAACCTGATGTATCACATGTCGATTAACCTGATGTTTCACATGTCGATTAACCTGATGTTTCACATGTAATTTATCCTGATTTATCTCATCTTTTCATGTTTTTGTTTTGACGCTGCCGGGGTCGGACGCAGACCTTCCGCTCTTCGAGCGGATGCTCCACCACCCAGACCACAGAGACAGTCCGATACATCAGGTGAATTAACATGTGATGCATCAAGTCAATCGTCATGTGATAATCAGATAAATCGACATGTGAAACATCAGGTTCAATCGTCATACGAAACATCAGGTGAATCGATTTGTGATAATCAGATATTCAGATGTGATGCATCAAATAAACTTACATATGATGTAAGTTCAAACGATATGAAATGGGGTTTAACATCGTGTCCAAGATTATTGCACTTATATAGCGACGTGCATGTGCGTGCGTGCGTGCGTGAGAGCGTGCACCAGCCCGAACTTATGCCGATTTCCAGGTGCTAGCCCACTGAGATACAATACCGCAGTTTAACAAGAAACCCACACACCCCCAGACAGAGAATACAGACTCCGAGCCGACCAATCCTAGTTTAAACCCTTTAATGCCGTGCGCCGGACAAGTGAACAATGAGTACCATTTATAACGTGTTTTAGTTTAACACGGCGGGGTTCGAACCCCAGACCTTCCATTCTCCGCGCGGATGCTCTACCACAAGACCACAGAGGCGGTCCGATACACCAGGTGAGTCTACATCAGACAAACGGACATGTGACTCATCAGGGCATCGTCATGTGACTCATCAGGGCATCGTCATGTGATTCATTAGGGCATCGTCATGTGACTCATCAGGGCATCGTCATGTGACTCATCAGGGCATCGTCATGTGACTCATCAGGGCATCGTCATGTGATTCATTAGGGCAAAAACGCTTCACTTTTTAACAAGAAACAAAAATAAACTTTACTTTTAGTATGTCGAAAGACCAAAACACAAACTCGTGCTCAAACGTTTATTGAACTGATACAGATCGGACTCAATTCATTTGACAAACTTCATCGTTTGTTTACTTTCACATGGAGCTGCTTTTAGGGGAAGGCATTCTGAAAAAAGAGAATCAACTATTTAGATACATTTGCATGTGTTACATAGAAGACAACATTTACTCGTGGAAAGGCTGTCGTCGATGACAAAAGCTAGTAAGAGGTGGTCATTCACTTATTCAGTTATTTAAAACAGCCAGGCAGCTGGCCCAGCTTCATGATGCTCATGCTAAAACTTACCCCATCGACAGATCGAGCGCTGTAAAAAAAACACAATTCCTTGTAAGATGATGAATAACAATTGTTTGCCCTTTAAATTCTGATTGAAAGTTGAATATTTCCTCATTGCTGCCTTGCAGGCCTGTTCCACAAAGGGACGTTAGTGTCGAAATGAAACTTTAGGAAGTCTACGTTCAAACGAGGTAGATAATATGTTAGTGAAGCCAAGAGTGTTTCCTTCGCATAACGGCGTTTGATCAGCATTTGCATGTTGCTACAATCTTTATTGCCTTAAATTAAACCCACTTTAAATGGGTTTCCAATCTTGCCAAACTAAGCCTTCATATTGATCATTGAGTATTGTAGCTGTTGTGATTTAACGTACCAGTTTGGTTCAAACGCGAGACTAGGACAGCCTCTGGGTGTGGACTCAGTGTAGAGCAACGTATCGCCCTCCGTAAAGGAAGTGGCGTTGTAACGGGACAGATATCTGAAAGAAGAAACTATTCGTATCCATCTATCCATCCATCCATCCATCTCGGCTGTTATGTAACTTCCTGTAACTTGTATATTGTATATAAATAAAAACCCTGTAATATCATATATGCAGTGATGCCAGTGAGTCCCTGAGTCCCACGGAATATTCAACCATGATGCCATTCTAAACTTGCAAAGTTGAACCAATTCGTATTAACTTGTCGACTTACGAAAGGTTTTGTCTTTCTGAAGTCATTAGTGTGAGATCGACCAATCACTTCTTAAAAGTGACATTAATATCCGAATAAACTTCGATCTTTACTTACTGAATTACCCCTGCCAAAACAACCTTTATTCTGAAGTTATTTCATATGTTTCCAATACTTTGTATTTGTGCACGTACGCGCGGTCAGGGTAGACAACGTAGATGAACTCTGTACAGCGGTTCAGTAGGACGTCCGAACTTGCTGTGTCCTCGCAGTCGATCAGCGTGAAACAGTCGGTGGTTTCGTCATAGACCCACAGACCACCAGCAGTATCAGCAAACACTATCTTCCCTAGTGAAGTGAAAATACACAACAATTGTTATACGTAGTAAACTACGGTTATTACGAACTCAAATTGTCTTCTAATTTTAGTTCGTTATAACCGTAGTTCGTTAGAAGCATATGTACAACATATATACAGCAAATGGCCGGGACCAAACAAATAAGTTCGTCACATCCGTCAGTTCGTTATAATGGTTATAAACGTAGTTTACTGTAGCTACTACCATGGTATATAGAATAACAAGAACATGTTTAGGCTTTAAAGTCATTAAATGGTATTAAATGTTAATTTGACGCCAACCAGGTCTTTTTCTTGACACTATTTTCTAGGATAATTGCAGAAGCACAGTTCGTCCTCCTTGATGTAAGACACCCGATCTAGATGTTACAGTGTTAGTGTATAATAGGATTAATAGGAAATTGTATATCCATCTGCTTTTGTCAAATTTAATTTTCATTAGGAAAGCTTCTGGATGGGAGTGTTCAAAGTTAATGTATTAAATACTACATTTTGATTGTGTGGGTATAATAGATCTTCGTTCATATCTAGTCTGCGAGATCCAGTATTTAGTCACTAACATTTAGTATTTAATCAGTAAGGTCCAGTAGTTAGTCTGAAAGATCCAGTATTTAGTATGAAAGATCCAGTATTTAGTCTGAAAGGTCCAGTATATAGTCAGTAAGATCCAGTATTTAGCCAGTATGGTCCACTATTTAGCCATTAAAGTCCAGTATTTAGTCATTATGGTACAGTATGAAGCCAGTATGGTCCAGTATTTAGTGAGTAGGATCCAGTATTTAGCTAGTATGGTCCAGTATTTAGCCAGTATAGTCCAGTATTTAGCCAGTATGGTCCAGTATTTAGACAGTACGGTCCAGTATATAGTCAGTAAGATCCACTATATAGTCAATATGGTCCAGTATATAGTCAGTAAGATCCAGTATTTAGCCAGTATGGTCCACTATTTAGCCATTAAAGTCCAGTATTTAGTCATTATGGTACAGTATGAAGCCAGTATGGTCCAGGATTTAGTCAGTAGGGTCCAGTATATAGTCAGTAAGGTCCAGTATATAGTCAATATGGTCCAGTATATAGTCAATATGGTCCAGTATATAGTCAGTAGGGTCCAGTATATAGTCAGTAAGATACACTATATAGTCAATATGGTCCAGTATATAGTCAGTAAGATACACTATATAGTCAATATGATCCAGTATATAGTCAGTAGGGTCCAGTATATAGTCAGTAGGGTCCAGTATATAGTCAGTAGGGTCCAGTATATAGTCAGTAAGGTCCAGTATATAGTCAGTAGGGTCCAGTATATAGTCAGTAGGGTCCAGTATATAGTCAGTAGGGTCCAGTATATAGTCAGTAGGGTCCAGTATATAGTCAATATGATCCAGTATATAGTCAGTAAGGTCCAGTATATAGTCAGTAGGGTCCAGTATATAGTCAGTAAGGTCCAGTATATAGTCAGTAGGATCCAGTATATAGTCAGTAGGATCCAGTATATAGTCAGTAAGGTCCAGTATATAGTCAGTAAGGTCCAGTATATAGTCAGTAGGATCCAGTATATAGTCAGTAAGGTCCAGTATATAGTCAGTAAGGTCCAGTATATAGTCAGTAAGGTCCAGTATATAGTCAGTAGGATCCAGTATATAGTCAGTAGGATCCAGTATATAGTCAGTAAGGTCCAGTATATAGTCAGTATGGTCCAGTATATAGTCAGTAGGGTCCAGTATATAGTCAGTAAGGTCCAGTATATAGTCAATATGGTCCAGTATTTAGTCAGTATGGTCCAGTATATAGTCAATTTGGCCCAGTATATAGTCAGTAGGGTCCAGTATATCGTCAGTAAGGTCCAGTATATAGTCAATATGGTCCAGTATATAGTCAATATGGTCCAGTATATAGTCAGTAGGGTCCAGTATATAGTCAATATGGTCCAGTATATAGTCAGTAGGGTCCAGTATATAGTCAGTTGGGTCCAGTATATAGTCAATATGGTCCAGTATATAGTCTGTAGGATCCAGTATTCAGCCAGTATGGTCCAGTAGTGCAGAATACGTACCATCCTCAAGGACATCAAACGAGACAATATTCATGGAAAACTTCACCTCGTCCTGTTCATCCCCACCCGTCTTGTTGACGCTTTTGATTTCATTGCAATCACTGAAATAAACTCGGCTGAAATGAAAGATGTGAAATATTAAACACAATTACGTCGTTGAAATATCGTCTGGGCAAAGACGAAAAGAAGATTTGTTTTCCTATTTGAAGGATAATTACATTTATTTATAAATCAACCTGTGTACTGGTGTTAACTATCAATAACTTGTTATTATATTATATCTTCTTGTTTGTATGGAGAATCGCCAAAAACATACATATCTCTTTAAATATCTATTGATTGAACCTTCTTTTACAACTGTTTCAACAATTGCATGCTTTAAATGTAACAATTTTCTCCGATAGAGCTAAAGCAAGCCGGTAAACAATTCCAGCTGATGTTCTATAATGGGCGCTGTGTTGCAGATAGCTCCAACACTGTGATACCAACCTGCCATATACTCTAACTTTGCCAGGGCTGCAGGTAATATCGGCAATAGTTGAGACGGTGTTGGAATTCAATGTGTCAATTGCCAGAATGGTATCACTCCCGTTTACAAAGGCGACATATACAACAGCATTACAATGAGCAATGCCAGTTGCCGACCCTAGATGGTGGGTAAGAGAGAGAGAGAGAAATTGCAATATGGAATATCTGTATGTTTGAGCTGAATATCATTTCTTTGAAATGGAAAAGAAAATGCATAATGTAATTGTGTAAGCATAATGGTAACCTTAGTTGATAATCTTGTACTTTTCCATCTTGGGAATAGTTCAGTGACAGATTCATACTGTAAGAGCGATAAGGTTGATAATAGTAGAGTTTTCCTTTGATCACAATCTCTCTGCTTCACTTGGCTGTTTCAATTACAAGATATTACCAAATACCTTTTTTTGAACATGTATGACATCACAATCAAAGAACTGCAGATACAGTCACAAATATAACTTGAATACTGAATTCTAACCGAATTTTGCGTGGCCTATCACCATGGTGAAGCTAATATACTGAGCCGAGAAAGTACCTGTGTCCAACACTAGATTGGTGTAATCGGATCCATTTTCCAACCTTGTGGTTAGGGTGAAAGGAGCGTTACTATAGGAGAAGACATAATAACAGGCTTCTGGATCAGCTGTTGTCAATCCGCTGACTTTTGTAGCCAGATTCACACTTGGCAGGATCGTCCCAACTGGGTCGACCACAGCAACTTCATCCGTTTCACACCCAGACACAAGTGCAGCACAACCTACGACTGTAAAAATAAACATCCAGGTAAATTTACAATTTAAACCCAACAAATGCATACTTTGTTCTTAGTTCTGTTTTCCGTGTGTCATTATGAAGAAGACATTTGTATTATTTCTAGTTTAACTATTCGCTGGCTAACATGCAAATAGCAAATTATTTAATGGAATATAATAGAGTTTTGGGTACAGCACATACAAGAATACAATAACAATATTAATCATGCTTATAAACTAACAATATTGATGCTTGGTTTGGATACCTACGGTTTGGGCAATCATCAGGCCGGGTTGTCGTTATATTCTCGAGGTCATCAAGAAGGGTGTACATGATATTCCTGAGAACTTCCAGCTTAGTTGCAAAGCATTCAACATCATCTATCGTTTCATTTCCGACCAAACATATGCCATCCTCAGCTAGAAAAACAGAATTGTTACTTTGAAAATAATGAACGTAGTAAAAAGAAATGTATTGCTTGGTTTAACATTTATATCCCAAGCGTTCATTGACCTCACTGACAAATAGTGACATTAACAGGTGATAAAATGTGAGCGTATCCTGCCCAAAATGATGGCAAACGTCACAAAAACAAGAAAAGGCAAGTCATATATTCACCTGAAAAAAACTCGCGAACACATGGTACAAGTCAAAATAGTGAATTGCATCGGACATCATTTTTCTCACTAATGCGTCATTTATAGAAATGTCACGAATGAGGCCTGAGTAAAACCTTCATACGTTGATCCCCTGTGGCTGTACGTGGTGCCCATATCTATAGTTACATCAGCCCCTTCAATGTTTAGTTGGATTTTTTTCAAAAATGGAAGCAATTGTCATCTGAAGTTTGTTAAGAAGTTTATTCTGAAATATTGTAGAACTTGGGGTATGAAATTGAGGCAAGAAGTAGGCATCCCTATGCGCACCAATTGTCCTCCACTCCTTACTGATCTGGGTTTTTTTACACATGAGTTTCTGCTAAGATTAGATAACCTTCAGGAATATGGATACTTTCAGTAAATAATGGTCACATAGCCTATTCTTTCAACCGATTTACCCACCTGAGCAATGCATAGCAGAGACCAGTGAATAGGACCCGTCAACGCCAGCGATAACCAGTCTCGAGCATCACACTGTTTTCACAAATTGAAGGAGTGGTATACTATAAACGCCTTGTTTCATTTGCTTCACGGGTTGCTTCACTAACCCTAACCCTAACCCTAACCCTAACCCTAACCCTACCCTAACCCTAACCCTAACCCTACCCTAACCCTAACAAATTGAAGGAGTGGTATACTATAAACGCCTTGTTTCATTTGCTTCACGGATTGTTCGAACCAATACACTTGGCAGTAAATTATCCAAGCACTGAAAGCGACTTGTGTAGATATGAATATGTAGTAAATTATCCAAGCACTGAAAGCGACTTGTATAGATATGAATATGTAGTAAATTATCCAAGCACTGAAAGCGACTTGTGTAGATATGAATATGTAGTAAATTATCCACGCACTGAAAGCGACTTGTGTAGATATGAATATGTAGTAAATTATCCAAGCACTGAAAGCGACTTGTGTAGATATGAATATGTAGTAAATTATCCACGCACTGAAAGCGACTTGTGTAGATATGAATATGTAGTAAATTATCCAAGCACTGAAAGCGACTTGTGTAGATATGAATATGTAGTAAATTATCCAAGCACTGAAAGCGACTTGTGTAGATATGAATATGTAGTAAATTATCCACGCACTGAAAGCGACTTGTGTAGATATGAATATGTAGTAAAGTATCCACGCACTGAAAGCGACTTGTGTAGATAATAATATGTAGTAAATTATCCAAGCACTGAAAGCGACTTGTGTAGATATGAATATGTAGTAAATTATCCACGCACTGAAAGCGACTTGTGTAGATATGAATGTGCAGTAAATTATCCAAGCACTGAAAGCGACTTGTGTAGATATGAATATGTAGTAAATTATCCAAGCACTGAAAGCGACTTGTGTAGATATGAATATGTAGTAAATTATCCAAGCATTTTAAGCGACTTGTGTAGATATGAATATGTAGTAAATTATCCACGCACTGAAAGCGACTTGTGTAGATATGAATATGTAGTAAATTATCCAAGCACTGAAAGCGACTTGTGTAGATATGAATATGTAGTAAATTATCCACGCACTGAAAGCGACTTGTATAGATATGAATATGTAGTAAATTATCCACGCACTGAAAGCGACTTGTGTAGATATGAATATGTAGTAAATTATCCAAGCACTGAAAGCGACTTGTGTAGATATGAATATGTAGTAAATTATCCACGCACTGAAAGCGACTTGTGTAGATATGAATATGTAGTAAATTATCCAAGCACTGAAAGCGACTTGTGTAGATATGAATATGTAGTAAATTATCCAAGCACTGAAAGCGACTTGTGTAGATATGAATATGTAGTAAATTATCCACGCACTGAAAGCGACTTGTGTAGATATGAATATGTAGTAAATTATCCAAGCACTGAAAGCGACTTGTGTAGATATGAATATGTAGTAAATTATCCAAGCATTTTAAGCGACTTGTGTAGATATGAATATGTAGTAAATTATCCACGCACTGAAAGCGACTTGTATAGATATGAATATGTAGTAAATTATCCAAGCACTGAAAGCGACTTGTGTAGATATGAATATGTAGTAAATTATCGAAGCATTTTAAGCGACTTGTGTAGATATGAATATGTAGTAAATTATCCACGCACTGAAAGCGACTTGTGTAGATATGAATATGTAGTAAATTATCCAAGCACTGAAAGCGACTTGTGTAGATATGAATATGTAGTAAATTATCCAAGCACTGAAAGCGACTTGTGTAGATATGAATATGTAGTAAATTATCCACGCACTGAAAGCGACTTGTGTAGATATGAATGTGAAGTAAATTATCCAAGCACTGAAAGCGACTTGTGTAGATATGAATATGTAGTAAATTATCCAAGCACTGAAAGCGACTTGTGTAGATATGAATATGTAGTAAATTATCCAAGCACTGAAAGCGACTTGTGTAGATATGAATATGTTGTAAATTATCCAAGCACTGAAAGCGACTTGTGTAGATATGAATATGTAGTAAATTATCCAAGCATTTTAAGCGACTTGTGTAGATATGAATATGTAGTAAATTATCCAAGCACTGAAAGCGACTTGTGTAGATATGAATATGTAGTAAATTATCCACGCACTGAAAGCGGCTTGTGTAGATATGAATATGTAGTAAATTATCCACGCACTGAAAGCGACTTGTATAGATATGAATATGTAGTAAATTATCCACGCACTGAAAGCGACTTGTGTAGATATGAATATGTAGTAATTTATCCAAGCACTGAAAGCGACTTGTGTAGATATGAATATGTAGTAAATTATCCAAGCACTGAAAGCGACTTGTGTAGATATGAATATGTAGTAAATTATCCAAGCACTGAAAGCGACTTGTATAGATATGAATGTGTAGTAAATTATCCAAGCACTGAAAGCGACTTGTGTAGATATGAATATGTAGTAAATTATCCACGCACTGAAAGCGACTTGTGTAGATATGAATATGTAGTAAATTATCCACGCACTGAAAGCGACTTGTGTTTATATGAATATGTAGTAAATTATCCAAGCACTGAAAGCGACTTGTATAGATATGAATATGTAGTAAAGTATCCACGCACTGAAAGCGACTTGTGTAGATATGTGTAAAGCAGTTCCGACTCTTCTATTATGCTAAACTGCTTGATGCAAACTTTGTTCCCATTATTAAATTAGGCCCGGACATCGGGGGATAATACTATTGACAATAATCGCAGTAATTCCGTTAAAAGCTATCATCTTTCTGTTGGTAATCGAACATCTGCATATGCAAGTTTTAGGGGGACTAGTGTTTATTTGTTTGTTTGATGTTTAACGCCGCACGCAGCAATATTCCAGCTATATGACGGCGGTCTGTAAATAATCGAGTCTGGACCAGTGATTGACATCATGAGCATCGATCCACGCAATTGGGATCGATGACGTGCATCAACCAAGTCAGCGAGCCAGACCACCCGATCCCGTTAGTCGCCTTTTACGGCAAGCATGGGTTGCTTATTCTACCCCAGATCTTCACGAGTCAGGAGGACTAGTGAAAACTTACGAATGAGTAAACTGTTGGAATCGTTGTATTAGATATTGATACTCCTAATTAGGTAAATGGAAAAAAATATCATTGATTTCATATGCTGAGGACTTTTGACGGCAATGGCAAAACTAATTTGGTCTCTCAAATACAGTAAATGGATATCTGAAGTCAAATCAAGTGGATAATAGCGACCTTCCCATAACGTATACAATAGAACATTGCGCATTACACTGCTTCCTGTAGGTACAAACGGATTTGATGTTGAAGAGCTTTATTTTAGTGAACAGGGAGCAAACTTGTTGAGTAGCAATACTCCCGTGAGCCATCACGTTCAATAGCAGTCTCATTATTCAATCATGGATATACACGTCATCAAATTATTAATTGTGGACACGTCATCAAATTATTAATTGTTTACACGTCGTAAAATTATCAATTGTGTACACGTCATAAAATTATGAATTGTTTACACGTCATAAAATTATCAATTGTGTACACGTCATAAAATTATGAATTGTTTACCATGTTCCTTTATTATTGTTCAACTTCAACAGTTATTGTTTTCAGGTATTTTTCAGGTTCTAACAAGCTTGTATAATTATTCTTTCTACATTGAATATCGAGAACCATTTTCTAACGGAATTCCATTTCTGGTAACAACAGTCTTAACTAACACATATTTAGATACTCTTAGAAAACATACTGTATTCCCAAATGTTTTGGATACCAATACAATTATCAAAAACATGTCCATATATTTGACAAGAGATTTACTCCTCAGATCGACTGTTTGTAAAAGTTCAGGGAATGTGCATGGTGTAAACCTGGTGTGTACGCTGGTCCACGTGGCACTTATTATTAGTCATGGTGTCTTAGGATGCCGTATACGTATGCCGTATACGGTGTCATATTAGCTTCGCAGAAATATATTGGGCTATATTTTTCTGCTAACCTAATATGGCACCGTATACAGCAACTAAAGACACTATAACGAATGAAAATTTTGCTGAAAGGATTCTGCTATTTAGTATCTGTGTCGCACATGGTCAAAACTTAACACTTACAACCTAAGACGTTAAGGGTCAAAGGGAGACTACTCATCAAACCTCAGAGGCCATACCTTGTTGATAATTTAACTTTATATAATCTTTATTAAAGCCACGAACGTGAACCACAAAAACATTAACGTCTTTGCAAAGTTAATGATATTAAACCACAAAATAGTGTCGAATAACGAATTTCTGTACCAGAATTTTCATATGAAATATGTGAGGTGGGTGTTGGAAAATCCAAAATGGCTGTTGCTGACGGTATACGGTCTCATATTAGGTCAGTAATAACCATCTTGTATTTGTACTGACGGTATACGGGCTTATATGGGGTTAGTAGTTCTGCTCTCTGATTGGTCTAACTCACTATGAGGCATAATAATCAGGGATATACTCCTTGGATATATAATTGGATGAAAGGGGTGTTTGAAAGCTATGCTACTATAATGTAAGACAAGGTTCAAATAAAAGGTAATCTCGTTATGTGTTTACAAAACACATCAGATACAAAGGATTACAAGTAATAAGTACATTCAAGGTCTCCAGGAGCAAAATAACTTTGTCTTTCTTCTACGCTGAATTTGGTCACCTATTGCAGCAATTGTGAATTTGTGTTTGTATGTTGGAGTTTTACGATTTAGCTATGTTGTCCCTTATTGTTTACAGTGGAAGAATAGTTGCAAACTGTCCGTTGGAGTGGAAAGATCCACCCAATCAGGTAATCTCTCTGTTTTTGCTTGTACCATATGTTGTCTTTTGCATTTTGTCAAGTGAACAATCGAAGTGTTAGTGACGGGTGCTACCAGAGAGGCAGGATACGCTGACATGATCGCGAACACCTGCTGTCATCACTATTTGACGCAAGCCCATGATATAGTCGGAATCGCATAATCGACTCTATTGGAGAACAAAAATTCTTCTAAATATGGAACGGATTGTGTCGGGTGTTTGACTGGATTAAATTGTATAATCTATTGTGTATCAACCCCACAATATTACTATTTTCACACGTACCATCAATAAACCCAAACGAAGTTCAGACAAAATTATAATTTTAAAACAAAGTTCCTTTACTCACTCATACATGGACATTGTTCGTCCGTGATGTTCGGATAACACCCGAAGGCTTCTATAGCTGCCTCCAGTGTGGCAAGGGCACTTCCAAGATCCGTCTCTAAATCGCTGCACCCCAGCGATGGCGCAATGACAGCCAGGAGGACGAAGATGAGACTGCTATTGAACATCATCATGTTGATTCCGAATGCCTGATCGCCTCAGTTTGGAACATTTATAGGCAACTGAAGCTGACGTGGACCAGTGGAGTGACGCACATGACCCAGTATATCACCCACGTGGTAGTAGACATCATGCTGGGTGCAGTTCATTTGGAGAAACTGTGTTACAAAACACTGGTCTATCTTGGCCTACTGAATATTACAACAGATGGCGCACACCAAAGGATTTGGTCGATTTGATCGATCCACATAGTGTAGTAGCGGTTATGGGGTGGATGTTGGTGGGGCACACACAACACGACGCTACTTGTCAGTTCACATGACTGCCATCTTTATTCAGAGTGCAGATAATAATAATCACAGTAAACCCTGAAAATATAAAAAAAACATCATTAGTATTTTTGTAGAAGAACATAATATTGCCTTCGTAGAGATTAAACACAATTACATGACTTCATCTTATCAGCTAGCACATTTGCACTAGCATGAATAAATCCTTAAATATAAATAGCAGGGTGTTAACCATTTCTGAATAACTATATAAAATTGCCATCTGTAAATGCAATGTGAATACATTACCTTCACACAAAACATTAATTTAGAAGGATAACGAGATACTAGTTATTAGTTTGAACCATATATAGAATTATGTTCCCCACTTACCACTGTGTGGCAATGAGCTTAACTCTTAGGTACGCAGTCACGTTCAAGGTTGGTTAAGGTCACATCATTCTATAACAAGTTGAAATACAACCTTGACAATACTTATAATGGCCATATAAAATAAGATATAAAAACAACAGATGTCCCAGATGTTCAGAAAATGTTTAAATTATAATTTAGTTTAGTAAAGTGTATACTGGTGTGAAAGATTAGGTTATGGCTAGAGGACTTTGACCTGACCTTTTGTTTCCACTTGTGTCAATCCGATTCATATTCATACTTAATCACGTGGAGTCATCACATAATTACATTAACCAAGGTTTAGCCCAATAATAGAATAGGATATAAAGCAACCATGTCAAAACAGATCGACGTTTCTGATCCCATTGTACCTAATCCAAAATCCTCACAACTCAAAGTCAGACGGACAAAGAATCCTGTGATCAGCAGTCACAGTCCTCTCACACAACACACACTACATTACAGCCATACTGTTCTCTCACACCAAACACAATACATTATAGCGACACTGTCCTCTCACACAACACACACTACATTACAGCGACACTGTCCTCTCAGACCACACACACTACATTACAGCAACACTGTCCTCTCAAGGCACACATACTACACTGCAGCCATACTGTCCTCTCACACGACACACACTATATTACAGCCACACTGTACTCTCAGACCAAACACACTACATTAGAGCCTTACTGTCCTCTCACACCACACACACTACATTACAACCATACTGTCCTCTCACACCACACATACTACATTACAGCCACGTTGTCCTCTCACACCACACATACTACATTAAAGCCACGCTGTCCTCTCACACCATACACACTCCATTACAGCCATACCGTTCTCTCACACCACACATACTACATTAAAGCCACACTGTCCTCTCACACCACACACACTACATTACAGCCAAACTGTCCTCTAACACAATATACTACATTACAACCACACTCTATCACACAACACACTACATTACAGCCATACTGTCCTCTCACAACATACATACTACATTACAGCCATACTGTTCTATCTCACACTTCACACTCCATTACAGCCACGCTGTCATCTCACACAACACATACTACATTACAGCCACGCTGTCCTCTAACACCACACATTCTACATTACAGCAACGCTCTCCTCTCACACCACACACACTCCATCACAGCCAAACTGTCCTCTCACACCACACATACTACATTACAGCCACACTTTCCTCTCACACCACACACTCCATTACAGCCACACTGTCCTCTCACACTACACATACTACATTACAGCCACACTGTCCTCTCACACCTAACACACTACATTACAACCACACAATTCTCTCACACCTAACACATTACATTACAGCCACACTGTCCTCTGACAGCACACATACTACATTACAGCCACTTGTCCTCTCACACCTAACACACTACATTACAGCAACACTCTTCTCTCACACTACACATACTGCATTACAGCCACACTGACCTCTCACATTTAACACACTACATTACAGCCACACTGTCCACTCACATCTAACACAATACATTACAGCCACACAGTCCTCTCACACCACACATACTACAATACAGCCACACTGTTCTCTTACACCTAACACACTACATTACAGCAACACTGTCCTCTAACACCTAACACACTACATTACAGCCACACTGTCCTCTCACACCACACACTCCATACATTACAGCCACACTGTCCCCTCACACCACACACTACATAAAAGAAAAAAAATGTCCTCTCACACCTAACAAACTACATTACAGCCACACTGTTCTCTTACACCTAACACACTACATTACAGCAACACTGTCCTCTAACACCTAACACACTACATTACAGCCACACTGTCCTCTCACACCACACACGTTACAGTACAGCCACACTGTCCTCTCACACCACACACGTTACATTACAGCCACACTGTCCTCTCACACCACACACTACATAAAAGCCACACTGTCCTCTCACACCTAACAAAACTACATTACAGCCACACTGTTCTCTTACACCCAACACACTACATTACAGCAACACTGTCCTCTCACACCACACACTACATTAAAGCCACACTGTCCTCTCACACCTAACAAACTACATTACAGCCACACTGTTCTCTTACACCTAACACACTACATTACAGCAACACTGTTCTCTAACACCTAACACACTACATTACAGCCAAACTGTCCTCTAACACAATATACTACATTACAACCACACTCTATCACACAACACACTACATTACAGCCATACTGTCCTCTCACAACATACATACTACATTACAGCCATACTGTTCTATCTCACACTTCACACTCCATTACAGCCACGCTGTCATCTCACACAACACATACTACATTACAGCCACGCTGTCCTCTAACACCACACATTCTACATTACAGCAACGCTCTCCTCTCACACCACACACACTCCATCACAGCCAAACTGTCCTCTCACACCACACATACTACATTACAGCCACACTTTCCTCTCACACCACACACTCCATTACAGCCACACTGTCCTCTCACACTACACATACTACATTACAGCCACACTGTCCTCTCACACCTAACACACTACATTACAACCACACAATTCTCTCACACCTAACACATTACATTACAGCCACACTGTCCTCTGACAGCACACATACTACATTACAGCCACTTGTCCTCTCACACCTAACACACTACATTACAGCAACACTCTTCTCTCACACTACACATACTGCATTACAGCCACACTGACCTCTCACATTTAACACACTACATTACAGCCACACTGTCCACTCACATCTAACACAATACATTACAGCCACACAGTCCTCTCACACCACACATACTACAATACAGCCACACTGTTCTCTTACACCTAACACACTACATTACAGCAACACTGTCCTCTAACACCTAACACACTACATTACAGCCACACTGTCCTCTCACACCACACACTCCATACATTACAGCCACACTGTCCCCTCACACCACACACTACATAAAAGAAAAAAAATGTCCTCTCACACCTAACAAACTACATTACAGCCACACTGTTCTCTTACACCTAACACACTACATTACAGCAACACTGTCCTCTAACACCTAACACACTACATTACAGCCACACTGTCCTCTCACACCACACACGTTACAGTACAGCCACACTGTCCTCTCACACCACACACGTTACATTACAGCCACACTGTCCTCTCACACCACACACTACATAAAAGCCACACTGTCCTCTCACACCTAACAAAACTACATTACAGCCACACTGTTCTCTTACACCCAACACACTACATTACAGCAACACTGTCCTCTCACACCACACACTACATTAAAGCCACACTGTCCTCTCACACCTAACAAACTACATTACAGCCACACTGTTCTCTTACACCTAACACACTACATTACAGCAACACTGTTCTCTAACACCTAACACACTACATTACAGCCACACTGTCCTCTCACACCACACACGTTACATTACAGCCACACTGTCCTCTCACACCACACACTACATAAAAGCCACACTGTCCTCTCACATGTAACAAACTACATTACAGCCACACTGTTCTCTTACACCTAACACACTACATTACAGCCACACTGTCCTCTCAAACCACACATATTACATTGCAGCCACACTGTCTTCTCACACCACACACACTCCATTGCAGCCACACTGTCCTCTCAAACTACACATATTACATTACAGCCACACTTCCCTCTCACACCACACATACTACATTACAACCATACTGTCCTCTCACACCAGACACTCCGTTACAGCCACAGTGTTCTATCACACCACACATACTACATTACAGCCACGCTGTCCTCTCACACCTAATATACTACATTGCAGCCACACTGTCCTCTCACACCTAACATACTACATTACAGCCACACTGTCCTCTCACAGCACACATACTCCATTACAGCCACACTTCCCTCTCACACCACACATACTACATTACAGCCATACTGTCCTCTCACACCAGACACTCCGTTACAGCCACAGTGTTCTATCACACCACATATACTACATTACAGCCACGCTGTCCTCTCACACCTAATATACTACATTGCAGCCACACTGTCCTCTCACACCTAACATACTACATTACAGCCACACTGTCCTCTCACAGCACACATACTCCATTACAGCCACACTGTCCTCTCACACCAGGCACTCCGTTACAGCCACAGTGTTCTATCACACCACATATACTACATTACAGCCACGCTGTCCTCTCACACCTAATATACTACATTGCAGCCACACTGTCCTCTCACACCTAACATACTACATTACAGCCACACT